AGACGCAATTTTTCATCCGGATAAGCATCCGACTGGCCGCTGGTAATAAGCGGCTGCTTCTTTGTCGTGAAATCTCGCCCCTTTCGCCGCTCGTTCGGCAAAGCGTTGCGAGCGACGGCGACAGCGGAGGTGACGCCGGCAACGCCGGTGGTAGTGCGAGGGGTTGTGATGCAAAACGAGAAAAAAAAAGACGGGGGAAAAAGGGTAGTACTCGAATCAACTCGCGTCCGACGACTATTTGTCACGCGGCGCGGCCCGCCGTTCCTTCATGAGCTGCTCGGTTTACGCATTAATCCAGCTAGATGAGAGGAAAAAAAAGTTGTGCAAACAGCGTTTCAACGTAGGCAGCCGGCGTTTTATTCTCCACCCTTCCGCCGCTCCTCCCCTTTCCCCATCCCCGCTTGTTTCTCCGCCTTTTCCGTCGCCCTTAACGCATGCCGTGCAGCGTTCGCGCGAGAAACGAGAGTCGCAGTATGACACGCAAGCTCGTAATTAAGCCGAGCTTTAATTTATCGCTTGTAATTCGTAATTGTCAACGGCGGCGCAGGCACATGAGAGAAAAAACACAGAGGAAGAGAGAAAGCGAGAGAGAGAGAGAGAGAGAGAGGGTGGAAGGGAGGCTGGAAGGGAGGGAGAGGGAGAGAGAGGGAGAGAGAGAGAGAGTGGAAACGTCGGGAAATAATAATGTTAATTTGAGCAAACACGCCGGCGCGCACGGAGAGGAGAGACGCGATTAATAACGGCGGATTTACGGTAAACGATCGAACGCACGGTAATCGTCAAAACAAACGAATTAATTCAATGGTTTGACACGCGAACGGGAGAAGACGGATAAATCGCGGCGCCGGCTCGACGAAGTCAGCCGGTTAACTCCCGCCTCTTCCCCCCAGTCCCCCCCCCCCGGGTTGATCTCTGTGTTGTTTTTTACATTCTTTGTTTCTCTTTTTTTTTGTTTTGCACGCAAGCGGACGCGCGCGGCAATTCTAATTGGTGTTATTTAATAAACAAACGCGGACAAAAAACAAACACAACCGGTTTGATTTAAATGGTCGCTTTAAAATCCATTAGCCCGCTCGTCGAATGTCCCTTTTATTATTCCTCCGCCTGGATAGTTTCACCCGGCTGCGCTGTAACGTCGGAAATTTCGGGGAAAAACGTTTTCATAGTTCCCGCTGCGCCATTACACCTTCGTATCGCGCGCGCGTAGCGCATTTTAGCGCAGCGTTAAGCTGATGAGCCAAATGGATCGGCGACGCGGTGACGTCCAGTTCGCGTTCGCGCGCGCGAGCGTAATTCGTTTGATCCACGCGGTGGAGAGGCGAATTTCATTCGCCCCGCTGTCGCGAATTTAATATTTCTCGACAATCTCCCCCGCACCAGCTCTCTCGCGTTCTCGTTCCATATCTTTCTAACGGTAGCGTGCGCGGACCACCAAACGCGGACGGTGAAAAGGGCCGGTGGGTGCGTCGACTCGTCCTCCGCCGTCGTCGTCGTCGTCGTTGTCGTCGTCGTCGTCGCCGTCGTCGTCGTCGAGGATTGTAATTTCGGCTCGTCGCGGACGAGCGTTTACACGTATGCAACGTCACGGCGCGAAAAGTTTTCACGATATATACATGGGGGAGCGCGCGCGCACACATTTTCCCGCCCCCGTGGCGAAGAAGATGGGCGCCGACGACGGCGACGGCGACGGCGCTGGCGACGGAGCGGCGCGGCTGCCGAGACTTTCGCGAAGTCGTGAGAAATTAAAGTTTCCCGCAAAGGAACTCGCTCTCCCCGATCCCGTAGTTCTCGTCCGACTCCGTCGTCCCGTGTCGTTCCTTCAGGATTCCACCGGCTGCTGCTGCTGCTGCTGCTGCTGCTGCTGCTGCTGCTGCTGCTGGGTGGCGGCGGTGGCGGTAGGGATATTGCGGTCGCCAGGGGAAATAAATCGCGCGATATGGGCGGGCGCACGGATTTTACGACGGGAGGAACGGCAACTTTAAGAATGCATCTCTGCGGGGATCGGCCGCGCTGCGGGGTCGGCTCCAAATTAATCCGCGTGCGAAACGCTCCCTCGAAAAAGCCTCGTTTTCCGCGCCGCGTCCACAGCTGTTTCCGCGATCTGCCGATTCGCTCCCTCCTCCGCTGCCGCGAGTAACTTCCTTCCTTCCTTCCTTCCTTCCTTCCTTCCTTCCTTCCTTCCTTCCTTCCCGAAGAGAACTTGGGCGCAAGAGTCGGGAGAACGATTTTAGTCGATTAAGCGCCGTAGATTAAGCTTCGCCAAGATTGTTTTGAGGGCCCGCTGTAACGCATTTTTTATACTTATCTGTGCATCCCTTATGCGGGTAACACGTTTATCAATTTACTAATTTTGAGAGAGAGAGAGAGAGAGAGAGAGAGAGAGAGAGAGAGAGAGAGAGGCGTTCTTTCGGAGCAAAAGTCGAAGGACTGAAGGTCGACTTTGAATTGTAACGAAGCCAAGCTAGATCGAAAGCATTTTCTGCATAATATATGAGAGCAAGGGGTAATGAAACATGCCGGATGCGGCGGGCCATCCTAAATCGGTGGCTTCACCGCAGATTACTCGGACCGGGAATCCAACGTGAAGGGGGAGAGACGGCGGCAAGGTGTCGCGGAATCGCTGATCATTCGTTAATATTAACCCGGCTGCTAACGAGCGAAAATGGAGAACTGCGGCCCCTAGCGTCCTCGCAATTAATCCTTTCGCGACGACCCTGCGCCGTGAGGTGCATTTCCCCCTTGTCTCCGACTCCGGGACTTCGGCGACGACTTTAGTGCCGAATTAAAGATTCCTCCGTATGTTTCTCGATAGTTTCCCATCGGAAGCTGTGAAAAGTTCGCTTCGAAAAAAGCGTCCGCCTCGGAAGACTGCGGTTAAGAGCCGGCCGCTCGCTCGCTCGCTCGCTCGCTCCTCAACGACCGCATCCGGCGGAATCGATAATTTTCCGCGCTTATGTTTACCGAGATGATCGATCCGCTCCCCGGCGCGCGAGCGAATTGAAATTCCGACGACGGCTGTGTGTACATCTGGATGCGCCCGGCGCTTGTGACGCGGTCGCCTCGGCGCCCGTAACGCGAATGCATCATGTATGCGCCGACTCCGCAGCACTCCGGGACGTCATGCGTACGAACGATCCGCGGTTCACGCACACACATACACGTCCCTTCGTTGTGGGGGGCGTCGAGGGAGCATCCAGGGGATAGCATGCGGAAAGGAAGGACCGAGGGAGGACAAAAAGGAGTGACGCACGCGATTTCGGGCGGGAGAGCGACAGAGAGAGAGAGAGAGAGAGAGAGAGAGAGAGAGAGAGAGAGAGGGAGAGAGAGAGGGAGAGAGAGAGAGAGAGAGAGAGAGAGAGAGAGAGAGAGAGAGAGAGAGAGAGAGAGAGAGAGAGAGAGAGAGAGAGCAAACCGGAGCGTTAACATAAGTAAAGAGAACCGGCCGACGTATGCGAGAAAGCAGACGCGTGTTCGGGCGAGAGTGGCACGTGTGTACAGGGTGGTCCACGCTCCGCTACGGCAACCGGTCGTTTACCTCCAATTTTGGGCCACCGTATAAGGCGATGGGTCCCCCTCTCTCTCTCTCTCTCTCTCTCTCTCTCTCTGTCCTTCCATCGCTCGCTTCCTCTCGATCTCTGGGGTCGTCTCAGTCGCAGAGTATCTCGCACTCTCCTCCTTTGAGACGAGGTAGGTGTAAATTCTCGCTGCCAAGGGGAGAGAAAGGAAATTGCGAGGAGAGAGCGCAGAAATTGCAAACCGCGAGTGATTTCTCGTATGCGTAACGCGCGGCAGTTTGTACTGATAACACAATGCGCACGGCAAAACTGGTACCTTCGGCACGCGCGCGCGCGCGCGCTATATATTTAACATTTTATGAAAATGTCGTTCGCGCGCGACGTCGCCTTCGTAATTACTTGATTATTTTCCATTGTATGCGCGCGCTGAAAATATCCGTCGGCTGAGCGCACTCGGCACGCAAGTGGCTCGTATTTACGAACGAATATACACGAGTGTCATACAATTGGAAACACATGGGCCGGTAATGTAAATCGGGGCGCGAAGTACACGGCTAACCCGAATTATAATACAGTCCAGTTCGTCGAATGTTTTTCTCCAACTGTCTCTTATTTCGCAATTTTTTCTTTTTCAAGATGCATCGCCGGGAACCCCGGACGTGCGCGTCGTGCGCACGTGAAACGCGGGGCGAGACGAGTAATCTGAAAAAATGGTCTCACGGCAGCGAGGAGGAAAGTGAAAAACGACGCGCTATAATTAATACGCTCCATATTTCCTATTGCTCCCGCCACCCTCAATTATCGGCATATCCATTCTGTCAGTGTCGAAGTTGTGTTAGTAGTTAATGAAAGCGAACGAGAGTTGGATATCGCGCGCGCGAGAGAAAGAGAGAGAGAGAGAGAGAGGGAGAGGGAGAGAGAGAGAGAGAGAGGGGGAGAGAGCGCGCGCGGGCGATTCCCTCGCCGACGCCGGACGGTGGGAGGAAGGAGGAGGGGGGCAGTGAAGGTGAGAGCGCGGGTGTAGATGCTCCGCGACATTGCGTGGGTGGGTGGGTGGGTGGCGGGGAGCGGCGGGGCGAGAGCGCGGGAGAGCCGGCGCTTTGTGGAGGGGGAGCAAAGAAAGCCGACAGGGGGGAGGCTGCGCGCGGCAAGGCAACACACACCGGCCGCAGCATCCGTCCCGAGTCAGTCGACTGGCGGATTCCGTTGTGGTGCGTGAGTCGCTCTTCAGTTCGCGAAGGTCGTGGCACACACACTCTCTCTCTCTCGAGTCACCGGCGAGCGCGCGTCGCGTCACTTTAATTGATTAGCCGATCCCTCGTGCCGGCCGGCCGGCCGGTGAAAAAAGAGCAGAGCTCGCCCGGCTCGTCCGACGATCGGACACTTCTCGACTCCTTGGAGAAGCGGAGCGCGATCAGCAGCGGCTCTTTAGAGAGACACTCGATCGACAGCGGCGAGAAACCGGTCGCGGGCCGCGTGACTCTCGGCTGACGTGCCGCCGCGCGGTTGGTCGGTGGTGAACTGTTGTTGTGCTTTTCGTACGTACGATTTTCGATTGTTTGGTGATACCGGAAAGGCGATACCCGAACGTGTGCTATCCCGCCGTTGGGCAGATTGCCGAAATCCCGTCCGCGCTGAAGCACCGCTGACTTCCACAGAGAGAGAGAGAGAGAGAGAGAGAGAGGGAGGGAGAGGGAGAGAGAGAGAGAGAGAGGGGGGAAAGAGATACTCCCGGGACGAACGGATCTCTCACTGGAGTGAGTATGTATTTTTCTCGAGACTGTACACATGGAACGCGTGCCTAATGTGACAGGGGAGAGGCGTGAATGAGCGTTATAACGCCGGCTGACGCGAGACGTCACTTCGCGCCTCGAAATAGACCGGCGACTGCGACGGCTTGATACTCCCGGATGAAAGAGAGAGAGAGAGAGAGAGAGAGAGAGAGAGAGGGAGCGGGAGAGTACACCGAAGTTTCGAGCCGCGTCATATTCTGAGGAAATGCACGCGGACGACGTCGCATTTAATGCCGCCAATGGTGTCACCGCTAATTAGTAACGCCATATTCAACGGGACCGGGCGCGCGTTGCTGATTATCAGTAATGTAAAACAAACATCGCGCCAAGTAGGCGGCGCGCGCTGTTGCTAGCATCATAATTAATATTGTAAATTTCGTTATGAAATGCGGCAATTCCCCTAACAACATATTCACACACGACTCTCAAACGATAGGAAAATGCAAATTAGTCGTCACAGTGAGCGAATATTACCGCGAAATATATCGCGAGTCAGTCGCGCGCGCATATTTTTGCACCGCAACATGCCTGAATATCGCGATAATTTTGATCTATCACTCAGAGAGTCGCCGGTATTGCAGCGTTCGAGGAACGTCCGTGTGAAAAAAATGGAAAGAACGAAAAGAGCCAGCGACGACTCACGTTTACGATGGGTCTCTTGATAGAGATCGACGACAACGGACGAAGAAAAGACTCAGAGCGGAGACTCTCGGCGCGCGGAGAAGATTTATCGGCGGGACGAGATCTAGAAACCGCGATTCCGGTTAACGAGTTCAAACGACGAATCGGTCGTCGTCGCCACGGCGAAATGACGTAATGCCGTATTATCATCGTAGGCCGTGCGGGATGGCCTCAAAACCCGTTCTTCTCTTCCTCTCTCTTCTCTCTTTCTCCCTCTCTCTCTCTCTCTCTCTCTCTCTCTCTCTCTCTCTCTCTCTGTCCCTCTCTTTTCCGCAGATCAACGGCGGCGACGGTGGACGACCGGTGGTTTCCCCTTTGCCCCGTGACACCGTTTATCTTTCTATGCTTCACGCACACGCCCGACAATGCAGCCCGTCGTCGAGGCAACACGTTTCGATCGTTTTGTCGTTTCACCCCCGAAATCGCCAGACTTTCGCTCGGCTGAATCGTCGTGAGGGGACTGTCTGAGCGACTCCGTGAAATACGCGGAAAAAAGTCGCCGGTTCGTCGAGCGATTTTATTTTAACGACGTACGAGCGATACATCGATCAATTCACTCGTATCTTTCCCTCTTTTCCTTCTTTTTTATTTTTTCAAACGTAATCAGAGCGAAGAGAGCACCATAATTGACGGAATTTTCACGATTATTACATTATTCGATATATCTGTGTCGTGCTGTAGCCGTGCGTGAGAACTTTAGACCGTTAAATTACCGATTTTGCAGAATGCATTGCAAAATGCCCTTTCGATATCATTTGTTTAAAATTAATCTCAAATATTCACGATGCGATGAATTTATTTCGAGATATTCTTTATGTATGTATGCGTGTGTCTGCGAGTATCGAAATACATAACCAGAGCACGCTTGAAATTCATTCATAATGACCGTTTACATTCACGGATGACGTAAATCGATTAAACGGAACTCGCGGGAAACAAACGTCGTGCGTTTTATCGCAGGTTGAGTGCGATGATAATGTCTTCTCATTTTTGCGAGCGTTCTCTCTCTCCGATCACGCGCTGCTTCTTATTTCAGTATGTTCTCGCGAAACGAAGGGCATCTTTCGAGATCCGGAATGCTCGAACGTTTCTGCACCCGTAAAATATAACGCCCGACTGGTGAGTTTAATCACGATTATAATAATGCCGCGACGATCGACATAATGTTGCCTCGTCATGTTGTAACACAGCACGTGGCGCGTTGCACATCGCGTGCGATAATACTAGCCGCGAAATTGCCGCGCGACTTGACCAGAGAGACTCGACCTTGAACGAAAATTGCTTGTGTATTAAGTCACACACGCGTTACACATGCAGCAACATCTCGGCGTAATCCCGCGAGAGAGAGAGAGAGAGAGAGAGAGAGAGAGAGAGAGAGAGAGAGAGAGAGAGAGAGAGAGAGAGAGAGAGAGAGAGAGAGAGAGATAATTATATCAGTTCCGTAGAATAATCACATCAGCGTTATTCTCGAAGTCCGGCTCGTCGGTACTCAATTCGAATCGTAAAGCGATAAATCCTGTCCGACGTCACGCACCTCTCTCGCTCCTCTCATTATTCTCATTACTTTCCTCACGCCCCACTTAAATTACTCGCGTACCTATAAATACGTGGCTCTATAAATAAATTACTCCTTTCATATCTCGGTCATCGAACTCCCGATAAAATGTAATTACGTCGAATGCGCAGTAGTACGTGTGCCCCATAAACGAGACGGTTTTTGCGAAATGAGACGAAGTCTCATTCAGTCTTTGCGGTCGTTTATAATTATACTTTCATCAGATGATATATATATTATCATCTTTAAAAATATCCTTTCTTGTTTGACCTGGAAATTTGTACGGTAATGTGCTCTCGCGCAAATTTCATGCGATATTACTCCGCTGAAAAATAATCGCCGCTCGTTTCGTCATTCTACAGAAGAATAATTCCTCCTCTCTGGTTTTTATTCGCGAAAATATTAATCTGTGTTCTTTCAACGATATCCAATTTGGTTGGAATATCGGAATAAAACTTGAGATCTTTTTGCTCGATCGAAGCATATTGCTAGTGCGATGTCTAATATGCCGGAATATATTTAACCTGCAAAAACTTCGGTTCATAGCTTCATCTTATTTAGAAGTTTGAAAGTCGTCGTTCCCTCTCTCTCTCTCTCTCTCTCTCTCTCTCTCTTTCTTCTTCGTTAAATAAACTCGCTCTTTTGCCTTCAAATTACGGTATCATCAAATTGATACCAACGAAGTTTCGGTGATACAGATAAAAAAGTGACGCTTCAGTCCGACACAACTTTTTGAATTTTGTTGTCCGCAGATCAGCTTTATTCCCGCGCAACACTTCATAAAAAATTTTTTAAAACTTTGTGCGGACGTTAAAAAAATTGTTACAGCGGTATAAAACGACGAAAGAGGTGATAGGACTTTCGGTGTTTATAACTCTGTCGTTTTTGGCGCAACGGGAAAATGTCACTCGTCGTAAAATGTCCCAGTTGTAAAAATAACTGAAACAATCAATTTGTAGGGAGTAGTTTGACGTGTAGTGCAGACTGTGCGCTGTCATCGGCCGTTGTATCGTCCCGAGATGGATGTGCGAGAATAAAGAACTTTGCTTTATCGCGACCCTCCCTTCCCAGCGCGAAGCGTGTATCAAACGTATACACACACACACGTTGCGCCAGAATCGCCCGATCTTAATTTTATTCGCGGATTCCCATCGAGTCGAGCGGGAGGGAGGGGGCGGGGGCATCTTTTATTTGTTACGGCACTTTTTATCTCGCGTTACCGTCCGCACCCGTGAGAAATATCGGTACCGGTATATCCACTCTCCGCTAATTCTCCACTACATTCCGTATCACGATTTGTCACTTGCGTTTTGCTCCTTTTTATTTCCTCTTTTTCTTATTTTTGGTTTTTTGCGCAATTTACCATGCAGCGTTTCCTCGCGGTGCGAGGCTCGCGCGCGCGCGGCTAATGTATTCAAGAATTTCCGGCGGCAAGACTTCCCGCGAAGGGGGTGAACGCCTGCTTGGGGGCTCGCAACGGCGCGCGCGGCTGGCGAATTATTTCGGCGGTGCGGGCAATTCGCCGGAAATTGCATTTAAAATTTCGTAATACGCGAAAAGTCGTTCGACGCAGTTAGGGTCATTCTCTTTTATCCTTAACTCGACGATACGAACGGAACGAGCCACTGAACTCTCTCGGCGGCGCGCTCTCGAGCCCCTTGTTCCTCGTCGGGACCTTGCTTACCGTTTGCCATTTTATTTCTTTTTCTCCTCCTCACGTCACCCCTCCCCTCTCCGTTTCTTCCGTCGCCTTTCTTCCGACCCACGCGAGTGGAGCCCCACGTTTGCAGCACGTGTCGCTCCTCGTTGCTTCCATTCCCTCGCGTTCGTTACATGTCGTCGGGTGTGCGTCCGTGAATTTTACGAAACATTAAAGAAGGAGCATATCCGCGCAGCGATACAGTGTAACTGTATTCCGTTTGCATCGTTGCGTCTTTAGCATGTTGCTTTTCTTGCGCTCGTAGAGCTTTCGCGGCGGCACGTTGCCCTCTTTTATCTTATAATCGCGGGATGTAAAGTTCCTCTTACTCGCCAATGCGATACGTGTTGTCTCTGTAGAATCGCGACCAAGTCGGCGACACCTTTTGTGCGGTCCAAATTTGCTGATATGCACATATAACGAAATTATAAACAATGATTTGTTCATAGGAATATCTCATAAATTTTGCGAAAGATTTTTTCAGTTTAGTTTCTTCTTACGCAGCAACACAGACTGAACTGTGAAATAATTTTTGAAGAAGGACTCACGACGAAAATAGCGAAATTTCGTTTCTAGGAATTTTCGCGACTTTACATAATCCACACACGTGTGCGTGGATCGATTGTAAGTAAAACGATCAAATTTCCTGTTAGGGGCTAATTTCGCCCCATGAAATCGTTTCTTCGTGACAAACAGCTTGCACGCGTTTCCCTCGGAAGCGGGGTTGCTGCATGACACGCACGGTATGTTACTCTTTCAGTAACCATTGTAATGAACTCGTAATGAATTCGTAATAAACTCTCGTTTAATCTCTATCGTTTGTGAAGCCGAAAAATGGGTCGTTTTCCTGTCATTCGAACGTATTCTCTTTTCTCTTTCAATTGTTCAGATGTTATCGAGGCACAATATCGCTAAATCGTTTTTTTTTTTTTTTCTTTTCAAATTTTACATTGCTATTTCAGTAGTTCTATTTTCGTGCGAAGACAATGAGATGCTTGTTGTTAACAGGCAGGGATCAAAAATATTCAT